ACATAAATTGACAATTTAGGATTGGGAGTTCAATGTCAACAAGTATTTTCCTTAACTTTCTTTGGATATTATCCCTTGGACATCCTTTTGTATATCCCTTGGAAGGCCTACTGGTCTTCCTTGCTCTATTCTTAGAACAATCTTTCTCAACCTTGGCAATTTTAAAATGTGTGGACTTCCAACTCCTTGCTGGCTGGAGAATTCTGGGTATTGAAGCCCACACAGTTGCTAAGATTGAGAAGCATTGCTTTGGAAACTCCATCCCCATCTTCCTTCAACCAGGTAGCAGGAGCACATCCTCACAGCTGCATTAACATGAGCTTCTCCTGTCTTTGAGCTGGTAAAAAAGACCATCAAAATAATTTGGACTCCATGTTTTACTTCTCTTCAATAACAAGACTGGGAAGTAAAGCACTCCTTTGCTGCAGATAGCAATTTTTTTATTCCTCAGCTTCCTTTTTCCTACCACATAGCATCACATATCAGTGGGAATAGCCACTCCCAGTCATTCTGTGTAGCATGCCAGGGCATGTTGAGAGGGGCATGTTCTCATGATGCCACCTCCAGCCCAGCCTAGAGCAGAGATGCAACATAAGTCTGTAGTGGCACCACTGATAAGGTGGAGTTTTCACTCAGAGTTGGCTTGGATCTTTCTGTACAAATGGGATTGCCTTAAGTCTAGGAATAAGCATCTTTGTATTGGAATGTCCTTTCTGCGCACTGACTTGAGTAATGGACCCTGAATTTCCCTGGCAACATAAACCCTTGATGGTGAATATGCTGTTTCATTGTCTTGGCTGATGACTGTTCCAAAAGCGTCTTCTGTACCAAATACTGTAGAGCAGGGGTTTCCAACCCCTGGTCTGTGGACCGGTACCATGCCAGCAACTGGTCCACAGAAACAAGCAACGCCCCATCTGTGGGATGCAGGCAGCACACAATACCACGCACCTTCCGGTCTGCAGAAAAATCTCTCCATGGAACCGGTCCCTGGTGCCCAAAAGGTTGGGGACCTCTGCTGTAGAGGGCCAGTTCCACTCTTTCATTTCCCCACTGTAGGAAAAGTATTTTTCAACCCAACAACATACATTCTGTAGAGATGTGGGTCTCTTTCATGAATGGGAGATCTCACTGTTTTGATGCAATGCAGTCACTGACCAATACCCACCATTAAATCAAAGATGACTTTCATACATCACACTTGGAAAAGACCATTTGTGTTGGCTCAATATTTTTTAAAAAACTCAAGTCTCAAACAGGCTCACTGAAATTAGCTACTTTTATTGGTGGGATTAAAAAATAAACTACTAGACTGTATAAACCTATATATATATATATATTTTACAACCTTTCAATAAATATTTCCCAGCCCCAGACAACAGATAGAATTTTTCTCTTTTTTTTAAGGAAAATATCAAGATTTGAAAAATGAATGAATATAAGCAGAAATACTGTTTCGGGGTTCCTAAACATCCTACAACTCTCTCACACATACTCATCTTTTATTACTCCTGGGACTAACCCAGCAATTAAGGCAGTGAGAATAAAGGAATACAATATTTTGGAAGCATTGTTGAGAGCACACAATACTATGCATTCAGAAGCATCCACAGGACGGGAGAGAAAAGGGAAAAGAGTTAAAAAATGAACTCCACAATTGTGTGTTCAAAGCCCTGTCCCTTTTTTACACATTTTGTGATGCAATCCACTTAAAAAGGGGCAGGGTTTCCAACATTTACGGTAGTTGCAAACACCCTCCTGAATGTACTGTATTAATGTATTAAAACCTTCTCCCATACTACTGTATGCATTCCAGAAGCCCAGCACTACCTTTAATAGCCACCATGTTTTATGCTTAGCATCTAACCACAGTGCCTATCTTCATCACATGAAGGTTAGAAACTTTTTTAAAATATATATTAAAGAAAAGATAATTTGGGGCTACTTCTTTTAGTTTTCTGCACATTCAGTTATGGCACAAGAACAGTCCTCCTTGTATGCAACAAGGAAGTTGGACTGAAGCAAAGGGGAAGAATCACTTGTCTGAATGTGCTAATGGGCATCCTTGTGGACTGCTGCTTCAGCTTTCACTATGCCTCTATAGCAGGGGTGTCAAACTGCCTGCCCGTGGGCCCGATGTGTCATGCCGAAACTGCGCCCACCCCTTGCCGGCAATGGGAAAAAAGTCACGATACGTCGCGACACGTCACGTGACGTTGCGAGTTTGGCACCCCAGCTCTATAGGAAATAACAAAATGATGCTTAAATAAGGTTATAAATAGTGATATTTTAGAGTAGGTATTTGCCTTCATCTGTGTAAACAATTTAGAAGTGCAAATGCCACCTATGTGTCCTAGAGGATAAATTAATAATAAAAAGTAAATCAGTAATTAAGAATAAGCATATCAAATGATAGCATCACAATATTACAATAGGAAGAAAACAATTACAGTTTCAGATAGAGGACTGTTTAACAGTACCAATCGAAAGCTTCCCCATTCAGAGTTTTTCTTCACGTTATAGGGGGAAAATGGAAGAATACAGGGTGTTTACTAGTGAAAATGACATTCTCAGCCCCCCCCCAGTAATATTGCATGAACAAACCAGGTTAATTGCACAAGAAAAGCCTTATTTGGAAGCACCTCTATAAATATTGACGCCAAGAGTATGGGGTCAGCCTCTGTAATAGCAGTTTGCTCTACCAATACTAGCAAATAGTGTTTCTTCCATGCAATGAAAAACATGTTTATATATATATCTCAAGGTATCTTTAAAGCACAGAAGCAGGCCAGGTTATGCTAGGCTAAGGCTAGGCTTTTCCCCCACCCTGGTCAGTTGGCAATCCTACTGCATTTAGAGCTAGATGGAAAGGACTGGCTAAAGTCTTAAGGATTTCTTATTTCCACACCTGCAATTTTGGGGCTTTTCTTTATTCAGAGGTTTCTGCAGGTGATATTATAATAGTTGCTACAGAAATGGTTCTATGATGCCCAGTGGGTTCTAAACCTTCTAGAGAAAATAACCCATATTCTGCTTTTCTTGGTCCAGTTTACAAGTCTGTTTTGGATCTGGATTCATTGACACTGTGACAGCTATTATGACAGGCAGCTGATTAGAAAAGAGAATGAGACAGAAGGGTGAGTAGTAACAGGTATGTATCAACAGTTGACTCCTACAGAATCTCCATAGCTAGAGGAAAGATACCACTTATCACCATTGCTACTAACACGAGAGCCTTGGTCTGATCCAGCATGTTGACATGCTGCACTGGGCTACAAATGAAAGACTGTTAGCTTTATTCAGAAGCATCATCTTTTTGTTCCAACAGGTTCATGTCCTGTGCTACCCGTTTGCACTTTGAATTCTTCTCCATCCTCTGCCAATCCTTTGCTTCTCTTTCATTGTGGAGCCTACAGGGAGAAAAGGCCCGTTTACTGAGAGGCCATCCATACTTCAGCTCCAAACTGGAAGAGTAGGTGGCTTTCATGGGGTTGCACCCATATCTCCAGTGAGATCACCGTGGCTTTCTCAGGGCACTTTCCAACGAGGGCACCATCCCTTGAAAGAGGAAAATGCCTTGCTGCCCTGGCTGCCAGAATCTTGGGTTTCTGTTGGTCCTTCTGAACAGCCTTGAAGTGAGGGAGACCTAGAAGAGTGGATGGTTTGGCTGTTTCTCTTCTTTTGAACTTCACCAACATTTTCTGTGAGCAACCAAACAGCTGGTTTGAGAAAGATGTGTTGCTTTGTTCTTTGGGATCTTCTTTCAAAGCGTAACTGCAGCATGCATGAACAGCATGCAGATTTTAAGGACTGACCCTCCAGAGAGGGGAGAGTACCAGGCATTTTTTTCCCAGACTTTTAGGGAAATTTCCATTTAGAATAAGCCACACATTAAAAGAGCCACTTGCTGAATAGTCCTAATTTAGGTATTCTTGATTGAGGGTATGAGCGGATACATATTCACAAAAGAGACACAGTCACTTTAAGACACAATTTCTAACGAAACTGAATATTCCTTGCAAGAAGCGTGGTTACTTTCCACATCCACCAGCAGCTGGGTATGCAGGGCTGTGCACAGGACAGTAAATTTCTTTTTATTTTATCTTACTTTGATAAATAGCTTGAAGAGCTTAAATAAAATTAATAATATTAGCTTGCAAAAACTATATTAACTCCACGTTTTGACTCTCACTTATGAGGAGATAAATATAAAATAGAACAAAACAGAGTTTTTGCAAAGGGAGTGCTCTTGTATTTAATCGAGTCAAAAGTTTATCAGTGCAAGATTCCGCCAGCTCCCATTCATTTCAAGGGGACTTATAATTAGGAAATTTAATTGCTGGCTATTGCTGATGCCCTTCAGATTTTCCAGAAGGATCTTTTTTAAAGCATTCCCAACATCTGATGGGAGTCTGAAAGTTCTCCATTTTACCAGCTTATAGATCAGCATTTTGTCATTTGATCTCTAGTGTACATATACTTTTTCCAATAATTTTAAGACGGACTTGGAGAGAATATCTTACTAGTGTCTGTGTATGCCTGCTTTTTCACACTTGCATCTTTTTTTATGACTGGGTTAGAAAGGAATCTGGACAGAATCTTGTCAAGCACAGTTGTTGGTACAAATTATCATAGTCTGCTGTCAGATGAGAGTTAAGTTTCCTTTCAGTGCTGTGACTGCAGAATAGTTCGTCTCTGATCCCTACAGAAACATCATTACAATGATGATCAGTAGCCAGACTGGATGGAAAAAGGAAAAGTTCCTGTGTGTTAGATTGCAGTAGCATCTTGAAGCCTTTCTCAGTTTCTCATTTCTTAGATGGGTAAGTAATTGTAGAACTTTGGTTTTAAGGCGATCATTGCAGCAATATATGTTTGTCAAGGACCAAGTACTGGAGATGGGATGAAATTCAGAGGGATGTAAACATTTTCTGCTTTGGAAGGATGCCAGCCAGCAGGGACAAAAAAAATATATGCTGGGGTGGGGCAATTTATGATTACTATGAATTTTCCATCTGCTGTTGGATTTTCTGCAACCTTTCCTGCAGTCTTCGTAACTGAAAGGGGAAAAATAAGCCAAGAATTTATCTGCTTAATTTTTCTGTGCAAACTGAAAGCCCAAATCACCTTACAAAATACAAAATTGAAAGTACCAAAACACATACTTTAAACACAAATCAACACTCTGATTTATAAAGTCCTGTCTAAAAGAGAGATACTTAAACATGTCTTCTAAAACTGACAGAGTAGAGGTCAAATGCAGCTTAGAAGGTTTGATGCTGAGAGTCAAGCAATGGGCTGTGTCCTCTTTGCCATAAATCCATCTCTCTCAAGCAACTTTAAGAGGTGCCAATTCTGCTCTCAGAATTCTGGGAGCTGAGGTCCAAGTTGAGAATCGCTACCACAGGTTCATATCTAATGACTATGGTTAGTCCCCACTCCCACCCTGGCTTAGCATATAATAAGAACCCATATCATTCCATTACAGAATAATGTATTGTTCAGTTACAGAATAATGCAAACTCAGAACACTGATTAAATCAGAAGGACAAAAGAATAACAGAGTTGGAAGGGACCTTGGAAGTATTCTAGTCCATTGGTGAACTACACAGAGTTGCTGAAAGTCGGAAGCGTATAAATTTAATTGATAATGATAGTCATAATCTTAACCCCTGGGAAAAGGACCAATGATATCACAAAGCCTTGCCCATACTCTCCTGATAAAAAGACTCATGGGATACCAGATATTTCTTAGTGTTCTTAAGTCTCAACAACTTTAAGTTGGGTGGACTTCAATTTGCAAAATTACCCAGCACCTACGTTAAAGAAGGTAAACTAGCTTTGTTTTTGATCTAATTATTACGATCAAGTGGTCAGAACCACCACTTACTGCTGACAGAGTTGAGTGTGCTGAGGAAGCAGAAGCAACACGTGAATGGGTATGATATGCCAATGTGCAAATGCACTACTCAGGTGACCTTGAGGACACAGACAAACTTCCAAGTGGTCTTAACAACTCTCTAAAAAGAATGCAAATGACCAGCTGTCTGCTAGGAATATAAATCCTTCCATTCCCCACCATCCAGTCAGAGCTGAAGAAGCTTTTTGGATGAGAAGGGAAACGCCTTCAAAGAAAAACAAGAAAGTCCAGGTGCCTCTTGAAAAAGCGCCTTTGGGACAACCATGACCTGGACGACTGAGAAACTCCATAGACACATTATGTGAACCTGCTGTTAAAGAAACTGGTCAGTTTGATGTGTGAATCTGGCTTGTACTGAGCTAAATTGAGCAAAACCCTGATGTTATACAATACAGCTCTCTGTATTTTTGTAAACTTTCAAGCACCAGCAATCTCCCCCAAAACAGTACCGTTATTTACCTCCTCATCCTTCTCCCGGATCAGTTTTTCTGTCTCTGAATCTGGCACCGTGGGCGTAGTTGGGATGGGGAAATCAGTCCCACTTTCTCGGGTTAGCTTGCTGTTTGTTTGTGTTTTTTTTCAAAAAACAAAACCAGGAAAGAGATAAAAGAGGAGGAAATACATTAAAGCGTTCTCAAAGAAAAGGTGACAAAAAAAATGCTTGGGTATGCAAGCCCACAAAATATCCCATTTGCCTTCCAATCAAAGTGCTGTATTTGGTTTCCCTCAAACTCCTTTTGTTATTTATTCCATGATATAATTGCAGTCTGGCTTCCATATGTTTGAGGTCATCTTGCAAAGGCAATTGTTTCACATTCATTTTGGGGGAAACTTCCTGATGGCAAGAGTGGTTTGATGGTGGAACCAATTATCAAGAGAGGAAGTGAAAGAGAGGCTCAGAACTGAAGAAGCTTCTTGGATGAAAAACGAAACATCTTCAAGCAAAAACAAAGAAAATCTAGTTGACTTTTGAAAGAAAAAAAGGACTTGGCTTGGCAAATCATGAATCAAGATACTTCCTAACTCATCTTCCCTGTTGTCATTTCACAGATCAGGAGATCATTATGGAAAGTAGATTACAGACTGCAAATTGAAAAAACAACCCAATGATTATACTGAACCAAGAATGTGGATTCAAATCTGAAGTTTAAGCCTCTCCCAATTAACAACCTCTGCCCCAAATCTTCATCTTCATACGATATACTTAATCAGGTCAAATAAAAGCCTGATGTTTGTGTTCACACAGGTTTTTTTTTACTAGTAACAGTGATTACTAGTAACTCTGGTTAGGGTTAGTAGATGGTGTAAATCCAGCAATAAGGTTAAGCATCTTACATGCATACAGACAGGGTGTTCTGACTTCCAATGACCCGTCAAAATTTTATAGAACTTTTATAGGAAATACATGAAAGCCAGATAGATGCAGCTCTGGAGGAAAGTGTCAGGCATTAACGCCAACCTGGCTGTACAAGTCCTCAGCAATTACAAGCTTACTGCAGTCCAACAGCAGAGGGGAATGGAAGCAGAACTGGAAAGGGGGGGTTAGTTGTTCACTCCAAGAAACAGTTGCTGCAGCAGAATCTTGAAGATGGGGACATCTCCTTTCCCTCTAAACAGGATGGCAAGCAGAAGAGGGGAATGGATACCCCTGGCTTAAATTCACCATGGGAAGGCAGGGCAGGGAAGAAGCTTTCCTCCAGGACTCACCCCCCCCCCCCTTTCCAGATTTCCCCTTGGCTTAGATCAGGGGTGTCAAACTGCCGGCCCGCGGGCCAGATGCATCATGGCAAAACCGCACCCACCCCATTGCCGGCAATGGGAAAAAAGTCATGATACGTCGCAACACGTCACGTGACATTGCGAGTTTGACACCCCTGGCTTAAATGGTTGTTCTGTGCCCTAGTTCAGGCATCATGGACCAAATCTGAAAGTGGTGGAACCACAGCTGAGAAGCCAGAGAGATGGAAGCAAAGCCTCTGAAACCACTGATTCTTGGTTGCCTAGGGGTTTCCTAGAAAATAATCCTCTTTCTCAGGTAGAGAGGAAAAGGGGATGTGAAAGTATGTGTTTCAGAGGGTTATTGTTAGAGAGTTGAAATGTGCAAAAAAAAAAAGACTGCTTAGTGGTGAACATTTATGTGGTAACTAGGAGTTGAAAACAACTTGGTGGCACATAATGAATTCCTCAAATATACAATATAAATATAGGCTACTCTCCATTTATAGAGGACAAAAATCATGGTAAATGTGGGCAAAATGCTGAATAAGGAGCCAGGATCCAATAAAAAGGAGGACAGTTTCTTCCAAGTTCTCTATACCAGTGTTTCTCAATCTCAGCAATTTTAAGATGTGTGTGCTTCAACTGTCAGAGTTCCTCAGCCAAGGCTCCCACAGAATTCTGGAAGTTGAAGTCCATACAAGTTGTTGGGGGTTGAGAAGCACTGCTCTGTTATACACTGTTTCTCCCTCAATCACATATTGTCTAATTTGCTTTCTTCAGAAAACGGTAACTTTCAGTCAGAGCTGCTGAAAAAATAATTCATGTCTAACAGACATGGATGTATAGATTTCATCCTTCATATATAATCAACAGGGCTGTCCCCAAATAGTTTGAGAAGTCTAACCACTGCCAATACTTACCACACAGAGAGAGAATGGCCTGCCCTGCAGTTTAACACACACAAACCAATGCAAAACAGCAGCAATACATAATAATTTCTTGAATGTGCTACGTCCTCGGTATCCTTACTAAGATTTCTTTTTTCTTCTTTTTCTACCTGCATTCCTTCCCACCCAAGCTTATTGCCCTTTGCTTTCTTACTAAGTCCCTTCTAGCATGCAGATTGCAAACTGCAGCAACGGAAGAGTTACAGAGAATCATCAGGTTAGTGCATTCAACTGGTTAAGCTCCCAGATACTTAGTACTAACTCAAGGACCCCCCAAGCAGATTAGCACATTTCATTAAAAGGCATAAAATGTAGGATTTAAAGGTACTTGTGATCTGTCTCACATGTAATCTGCATAATCAACCTGTCTTACCATCCTTCCTCAACTTTAATCCCAATTTAAATCCTCCATCTCTCAAGCCATTCTATGCATCTGATGAAATTAGATGAAAAGTCACAAAAGCTTATACTTTCTAATAACATGTATTAGTCAGATAAGGGACTAACAGATTTTCTTCTGATGTTTTTGCCAATATAGACTAAACCAGTATTTGATCTTAAAGTTACCAAGGTTGAAAACATTGGACTAACCCACCTCTCCTCCAATGGATACAGCAGAATATCCAGGGATTATTATTGCTCAATTATTTTGTAAGGTAAAACAATTGTTGTTGTTAATTGCGAAGTCATGTCTTAATTGTGCACCTGGCACATTGGGAAACATTCTGGCGGCTCAGATTAAAACAGCTTTTATAAATGAAATGAAATATCTCTTCTAGCTGGCCACAGTTGGACAGAGAAGTATAGAGGCAAAAGGAATAAGAGACACAGTAAGACCTAACAGTCAAGCTTTGTAGAAGAACAGAGTCAATGAGTTAGCAGGCCAGATTTCAAGAAAGTATGAGAAAACAAGCAAGATCTGGGGGAAACTGAACAACAGAAAAGATAAGTTAAGAGAAACAGAGTCTCAGGAAAGGTTTATCCAAGACTTTCCTTGACAGATCACCAAGATGGTGAGCTGAAGAAGGCCTATAAGAAAATCAAGAGGTTACAGGGTATTGTATTTTGTCTTATGATTTTGGTTTTCCTAGCCGTACTGTAGAACACCTCCCATTTTTTACACCCAGCATGTCCAATTGTTGTGTCAACTGGGAAAAATGAGAACCACATTTCTGAAAGTTATCAGATTTGGGGGGGAAATGGGAAAAGTTAAGCAACCAGACTTATGTACATGTGTTTCTCCTAATAGGACAATTCACTGAAAACCTCAACGCCCCCAAAAAAGGAATAACATTTCTCCACATTCACTTTGGTGAGTTTTCTATCTGATGCCACCTTGGACATGCAACCCATCAGCCACTTTCTGAGTTTAAAACAGAAAACATAGATATTGCTTGCATTCGTATTTATACTGCATCACCTTTCTACAGATACCTGTCCTAGCACAAAATTGCACAAACCAGGAAAATGGATTTCAATGTACATAATTTATTCTGTTTGCAATAGAGTGCTATCCATCTGTTGTTATAATAAATACCTGCCTAAATCATCATTAAAAAAAATCTGTGAATTTAAGCCAGCATTAATTTTTCTTGATGAACTGCCTCCATCAGACTCTTTCCACCTGAGAATTTTTAAGGCCGCTTTGCCTGACTTTCCTCCTCATACCTGTTGGAGAGGAGGTTAGAAGAAGGTTATTGAAAGTGGGGTCCCACCTTTCGTATCTCCTTCATTCTTCCCAGCTGTGCCATTTGCTCAGCTTCCCTCCTCCCCAGTTCCACCTCCTCCTTCCCAGCACCCCCTAACTTACTTGCGATTCCGCTCTTTCACCACCATGCGAGTCATGCTCTGAATACACTGAGCCCGGTAGTTTTCATAGTGAGTCTCCCGAGTCACATCCTTCAGGTCCTGCATATGGGTCCTTACCAGCATGGTGCGTAGCTTGATAAAGTCACAGTGCATAGGGTTCTCCACTGACAAAAGAATGCAGAGTTAAGTGAGTGCAATTCAAGACCGCGTAGTGCAGCGACGGTCTCTAGCTCAACGATCTCAAAACTGGAAACAAATCCATGGAAGATGAAAAGCCTATTGATGGCTTTTAACAACTAGAGTGAAATGGAGCCTGTCTGGGGAATGGTTGAATGTGCAGACTGGCAGGCAAAACATGAAAGAAAGCTTTTTGTTTCCTATTTTGCTTGTAGCCTTTTAGTTCCTCTTACGTTCTCAGGAGTCTGCACTCCAGAGAGACCAGGCCAGTTCAAGATAAGACTTACCAAGTGAGCCTGAAGAGTACGCAACTCCCAGCCACATATTTGGAGGAAATATTTTCATATGTATACACACAATGATCAGCTTCAAGTGATTTTGCTGGGATTTGTTAATGCCGTCTCTCCCCTTTTTCCTTATTACAAAAATGCAAAAAAAAGTACCTCCTTATAACAAACATTGCAATTATTGTTTTAGTTTTCCTAAAGCTGATTTGCCAAAGGTCCTCTCTCTATGCTGCCAGTAGGGTTTGTGGACAGGCCCTCCCCTGTAATAAACTGAAGAACATTTTAAAGCAGTTGTTAGATTCAGCACCTTGATTCATCAGCATTTTAGGTAGTTTAGCTTTTTTGAGGGGTCTCATCTATAGTATTATTATCAAGAGAGATTATATATTTTCTCAACCTCTCTCCCTCTCATTCCCTACTCATCTACCTATTGGCTTTCCCAAGCTATGTTTGACACCAATTTATTTTTTAGGCATACAACAAATTTTGAAATTCAGCGTACTTCAAATCCAAGCTTTAAAACTGGATTTTTCAAGACCAACAGGGATAAAAGGATAGGATGGGACCAAGGTTGGCTTCACCCTGGAACAGACTGAAGCAGCCACCTCAGACAGCAGGTGCCAGGACACAGCAGAAAGGAAAGGATGTTTGCTGTACAGCCTGCTTTGCCTCTAAACTAGCCTTTTGCCTTCAATGCCCCAAAGGAGGCAATCTTATTTGTAACACAGAAGAACAATTCAACAATCAGTCCCTTTGGCTTTTGGATGCGATAGGAGAGATGCCATCTTGTTCTTTGCCTCCCACATCTACATTGAGGACATCTGCAACGGTGATAATAAGGGCCAAGAAGAGCACAACTACACAACTGAAGCCCCATTGTGTTGTCAAGTGCATGCAATGCATTTTTAAAAAGGCATCTGGCTTTGATTGGGTAGTTGTGCCCACCATCTTGACTTTTTTGACAATCTATGGCAGTGGTGGCGAACCTATGGCACGTGTGCCAGAGGCGGCACTCAGAGCCCTCTCTGTGGGCACACATGCCATGCCCCAGAGATGGCAACTGTCCCTCTTCAACCAGCCACCTGCTAACTCACCGAGGTCCCACATGGCCAGATGCATCTCAGCACCCTTGCGCTCGCTGGCCTCTGTGTGCAGGGGCTGATGGTGTCAGGCAGCAGCCGCCCTGACCCCTGCCTCACCTTTCCCTGTGACAATGGCACTCCCGCCCTGCCTTGCCTTGCCTCGCCTCACCCGCAGGACAAGTCTCCTGCCCACTGCCCCACCTGCCAGAGACCCCCTGGATCTCCCCCAATCCTGCCCAGCCCCCACAGATGTCCCTCCCCATGAGCAACATCGAGGTGATCACGCCCACCTTGGCCACACCCACCCAATCTGCCATGACCACCACAGCCATGACCACCCAGTGGGTCACGCCCACCTGGCACCCGGCGATAAATAAGTGGGTTTTGGGTTGCAGTTTGGGCACTCAGACTCTAAAAGGTTCGCCATCACTGATCTATGGGAATGCCCCTGTAATAAAATATTGGGAATGCCAAGAGGTGGCATCTTGTCAATATTCTCCCTCTTCCCCACCTCCTGATTTTTCCAACAAGATATTGGGCACATGGTGCAAAACTTCCATGCTCAACCCACGCTTCCCACAAAATGACTAATTTAATGCTTGGGGACAGGAAGCTTTTATTGATTTCTACTGCCAAAGCTAAGACATTATGCTGCCAAAGTCAATATTTTGTATTTCCATCCCACAAGAGCATCAGTAATTGGATGTCAATTCAAACTAGGGGAGCATGGAACATTTTTGCTGAATTCTGTATTGAATCAATGTTGGCCCATTAGCTGTAGTCCCCAGTTTACTGAGCCATACTGCCACAAGGAGCTATAGGTTACCTTCAACAATTCCCCAAGGGTACAGTCTCCCGCGGATCCGCTTGCCTTTCATCTCCACAATGGTGTTACTGCCAATCACAGCGAAGGGGATGCTGTCCTGCAGAATAGTGACAATTAGGAGTCAGACAGGGTGGCAGGGGCCTTCCCCAATCTTCACTACTTCACATATATTTAGTGACAAAAGAGAGCATTCCTCAAAAAGATACAAGGAAACTGCAACATCATCAACTGCACCATCAAATTTGTCAGCATAAGAGGGAGTGGAGTCTGAGGGCTTCAAAAAAAGGAAGTGGTTTGGAAAAGAGCTGATCTCTGTTGTGCAGTAAATATACATGATGCTTGACTGCTTTGCAATCCACCCATTTTCTTTCGTTTATTTGTTTAAATTAAGGGATTATTCTTTTTAAGTTATTCAGGCCAGTCATTAAAAAAGAGTACAATTTATTATTTGTTAAATTTTGTTTGTTAAATTTATTATTGCTGCCCATCTCACTACTCTGGGTAGCTTACAACAATAAAATAGAAAAAAGTGATTTAAAAAAGGGCTGGTGGATTCCAAACTGAGGACCCATTTATAAGGATTGTAGCAGTTTTAAACAAGCTTGACACCCAGCCTGCTCTCTGTCTCTAGATGCATCCTGCACTTTATAGAGTCTCAACATTTTTACATTGTGGTGATCAAAACTGGATGCAGTATTCCAAGTGTGGCCTTACCAAAGCATTGTAAAGTGGTATTAACACTTCACGTGATCTTGATTCTATCCCTCTGTTAATGCAGCCTAGCACTGTGTTGGCTTTTTTGGCAGCTGCAGCACACTGCTGGCTCATATTTAAGTGATTGTCAACTAGGACTGGAAGATCCCTCTCACAGTTACTACTATTGAGCAAGGTACCACCTATAGTATACCTGTGCATTTGGTTTTTCTTGCCTAAATGTAGAACCTTACTTTTTTCACCACTTAATTTCATTTTGTTAGATAGCACCCTTAGGCTAAGAGTTTAATCCAAGCCTAGCTGCCTCTGTTTAGTATGTCTTAACTAGAATTAGAGATACATTCCCAGCTTGGAACACATGCCTTAATTTTAAAAAGGCAAGCAAATATGAAACATATTGTTTTCAAATATTAGGAAAAGCTCCTTTACAGTCAAAGCATCAGCATATGTGGAATATGAGTGGGGAAAACTAGGCCTTCTGAATTTGTTCTAACACAATCAGGTACATCTAGCAGAACCAATGGATCCCAATGTCCACTCTTGGTAATCCCTCACTTTGAGTGCTTCATCCTGCAGCTTGAATTCCTCATCTTCATCTGAATCACAATCAGGAAATTGGTAGATCCGGATCCCAAAACGATCAATTTCGTCACGAATCTAGAACAGAGGAACATGCCAGCAGCCGATGAAGTTCAATCATAGCTTTGATTCCTTATATTCTATAGACCAAATGCATGAACGTGGGTGGGCACCCACTGCCACTCCCAGAATTCTTCATGAGGCAATCAGGGCCTTCCAGAAAGCAAACAGTGGAATGAAGAACTCAGCGTTCAATCAGTACCATACCCCCCAATTCTTCATCCTCACTGAGTTTCTCATAAAATACATGTGGTCACTTTGAGGGAGAGACTGAAAGTCATCTGTTTGTTAATTTTAAAAAGAATACAGATTTCACAATGTCACAGAGTCTGGATATTGGGGGGGGGAGTTGGAGAGGGAGGGAGGATTGAGCGGGAACACACGACAAAGTCAATGTGAGGAAGAGGGGATGTAACAGAAGAATCTCAAATTGAAGCACAAGATGGTATGATTCCTTATGGCCTACATTTAACTCAGCATTTAAAATCTGAATTGCAACGGGTTGTGTAAGTATATGCAGGTAGCTCTGGAGTTACAACCACCCATTTGAAGTTATGATGGCACTGAAAAAAGGGACTTACCACTGGCACTCACACAACCAGTGTCCCCACAGTCGTGATCATGATTCAGGCGCTTGGCAACCATCGTGCATTTATGACTGTCACAGTATCCTACAATCATGTAATCTTCCCAGCCAGCTTCTGACAAGGAAAGTCAATGGGGAAGCCAGAAAGGAAGACTGCCAGCTGCAGTCACATATGGGTCACTTGACAACCGCACTGCTTAGCAATGAATTTCCTTGGTTTCTGTTGTGGTCATAAAATGAGGACTACCTGTACTTAATACCTTTATACTTAAGAAACAATTTCAAAATGTTGGAAATAATAATAATAATAACAACAACAACAATAATAACAACAACAACGTTGGAAGGGACCTTGGTGGTCATCTAGTCCAACCATCTGCTCATGCAGGAAACCCTATACCAGTGGTGGCGAACCTATGGCACGTGTGCCAGAGGCAGCACTCAGAGACCTCTTTGTGGGCACATGCACCATCGCCCCAGCCCTGCCTCCCCCCCGCAGACCCATTAGCAGCCCCCCAGGAGGAGCATATGGCAGCTGGGCAACAGAGACAAGATTCCGCCCTCACGCCCCGTTGCGTGCAGATGATGTGGGGCGCGGGTGAAGGGCATGGCCATCATGGCGCTGTAGGGCCACCTGAGCGATCTGCGACAGGCTGTGGAGGTGGTGGGTGGCCCGGCAGGTGGGGTGGGGACGGGGCAGGGCGGGGGTGGAGCGGGCAGGGTGGAACGATGGGGGCAGGGGGCGGGGCAGGTTTTGGCACTCAGTCTCTAAAAGGTTCACCATCACTGCCCTATACCATTTCAGACAAATGGCTGACTAGTCTCTTCTTAAAAACTGCCAGTGTTGGAGCACCCACAGCTTCTGGAGGCAGGTTGTTCCACATTTCCTTTTCTTTTTTGTTTTCCTTTTTCAATTAGTCTTGCTTAGGTTACTACTCTATCTATCTCAATGCATTCTGTTGTGTTTGTACATTTTTCATGGAAGTGAGTGTCCCCAAGTTTGCTCCGATCTCCTTTTTTTACCTTGCACTTCATTCGTTCCACCTCGGAGGGCATGAGAGTGTCAGCCTTGGCCAGGACAGGGACAATGTTCACCCGCTGATGGAGAGCTTTCATGAATTCAACATCCAGAGGTCGCAAACTGCCAAGAGCAGACAAGAGTTCACTATGGAATACCTGGGAGCTGTGGAAAGAGGTTGCTTCTTTTTTGGCCAATAAGCAAAAAAAGTGGGGTGTCTGACATGTGCTAGAATCTGTACCAATTATTTGGCGGCAATCAATGATACTCCACAAAAATAACTACGGTATTTCAATTAATGATATAAGGAAACATTAAAGAGAAAGGTAGAACTGGGTTATGTAGCATAACCTGACTGAAAAATCTATGTTTTTGGCAAAGATGCGACATCCTTATTTCATGTAGTAACATCTGCAGAACAAATGATACTCCAACTTCCAGGAGGAGGCAACATTAAAAGAAGCATGGCCTTCCATTCAAATTGTTTAAGCATTATACCATTTGGATCACACATTTTAGAGTTACTTATGTTGAAGGCTTTTGCTGTTTTCCAACAACTTAGGGGAGTCTTTTCCAATTACTTTAACCCTTCATGGATAGACATCTTTATTCTAGATCCTAATTGGGTTTATCAATCTGAAGGACTTCAAGAATTTGAACTCTATGGAGCAAGGACCCTATCAGAGAATTCTTCTCTTTTAACCTCAATGTCCAGCATCCAGTGAGGAAAGCCATGCTATGATGTCATGATGTAAAATCAATATCAATTGTCCCAGATAAGCTGAGAATTTTAAGTGCTAAAATGCATCTAAAAATCAGTTTCTGTTTATCCATGGATGGGCTTATCTTCAAGTATATACAATAATGCTGTACTTTAAAAAAGTACCCATAGTTCCCATATATCTATCTGAAGATAAGCCCATCCGCAGACATGTAGACCCTCAAATTTGTAACCAAGCTATTATGAAAAATACAGGCCAACTTATCCACAGGTGATGTGTTTTTCATGGTATTTGGTTAAAAAATCAAGGATTGGCTTATCTGTGAATTGGCTTCTATGTGAATAGATATGATATTAATTGTGCATAGCCTTTACTGGTTGTGGAGCAGTCTAACCATATATAACTTCCAGGCTGGAAAACCAGGGATTGCATATTGGAGACCATGAGGTTAAAAGGGCTGGGCCAGAAAAAAAAAACTGCTAAGAGTTTTTTTAGGTAGCAAGACAGTCACCAAGTCTTTAGTCAACTTTTTTTTTAAAGAAAAAGCATGTTCCAGGATCATGAGTAGGTTGGTTTAATTCATACCCGTGACCAAAAGGAGAGATGAAGTAGAGGCAGCAATGGACACGGTTGTCTTGAATATTTTTCCGGTTAAGGCCACTTTCATCTCGGAAATACTGCTCAAACTGCTGATCTATGTAATCAGCCACAGGCTTCCAACTGGGAAAAAAAGAGAACATAGTTTAGAATTGGTGGGTTGAAAGGGAGGCAGCCATCGTGTTTGCACAATCAAAACTGTAAATATCACACCGAATTTTAAAAATGCTGAGTCAAGGAATTTGGGATTCCAGAACTGGTTATCCTAAATGGTTTTTCATACCAGAAATATAGTACAGGGCTGGGACAGGTATTATTGCTGACAATTAGGAAATCCCTGACAATTTTTTGCAAATCATCCAAGGATCTATATCCAGATCTATTTTCTGGCAATCCACAATTAACTAATATGGTAGGTTACATTCTTTTTTTCATTTGAATGCCACCTCTGCCAGTCTCAATGTAAGTTCTTGAGTGAGTCACACACTTGTCCACCGATCATCCATAAGCAGCACATTCATGCCAGCATGATAGAATGGAAGCAAGGGTGAAAGTTTGAACATCTCTTCTTGTAGGGGGAAGGAGGGGCTGTTTAGAGTAGTTCAGTAGGACTTCTAATGTGTTCATGCCTGATAAGCCATTGTGGAGATAAGTTTAAATATCTCCCTTCCTTTCAGAAGTCTCCTGCTGGTTCACAATTGCTCCAGAGATGCAGCAGTCTCTCTGACACATCCACACAGCTCACTCAATCTACCAGAAATCAAATTATCCACTGATATGGTATCAAATGACCTCAGGAATGAAAAAAAAATGCTCCAGTTATTTTGAAAGAAATTATATCTGACAGGATTTCAGCCACCTTTTCAAAAACATGTAAACTGATTATGTGCCATCAAGTTGGTACTGACTCTTAGCAACCACATAGATATTCTCCAGAAAGACCTGTCCCTAACTTGGTCCTCCAGATCTTCCAACAGTGCACTCATTGTCACTCACTGCAAATGAGTTCATCCACCTTGCTGCTGGTCGTCCTCTTTCCTTCCTCCTTTCCCAGCATCAGAATCTTCTCCAGAGGGCTAGAACTTTGCATAATGTCCCAAAATAGGATAACTGAGCCAAGTGATTTGTGCCTTAAGTAAGAGCTCTGGTTGATTTGTTCAACGATCCATTTGTTTATTTCTTGGCTATCCATAGTATTCTCAAGAGTCTTCTCCAACACCAAAGTTGAAAAGTGTCAATACAGGTAGTCCTTCAATTACAGCAGCAATTGGAACCAGAATTTAGAATAGAATAGAGCTGGAAGGGACCTTGGAGGTCTTCTAGTCCAGCCCCCTGCTCGAGCAGGAGAACCTATACCATTTCAGACAGGTGGCTGTCCAGTTTCTTTTAAAAAATCTCCAGTGATGGAGTGCCCACGATTTCTGAAAGCAAGCGGTTCCACTGGTTAATTGTCCTCACTGTTAGGAACTTTCTCCTTAATTTCAGTTTGCTTCTCTCTTTGATCAGTTTCCAACCATTGTTTCTTGTCTTGCCCTCTGGTGCTTTGGAGAATAGTCTGACTCCCTCTTCTTTGTGGCAGCCCCTCAAATACTGGAATTTCCATTGCTAAGTGATGCAGTCGCAAAATATGATGTCATGTGATCACATTGTTTAGAGATGGCAATGCCAGTTGCTATGATTAACTGAATCCCAAAGATTCCAAGGATCTACCCTGATCTAAGCCATTCTCGATCTGGTCCCCCCCCCCACCTTTGTAAGTGCCTCCTCTTCAATTCCTCTCCACCCCTCCCAATCTTCCTCCTCATCTCTGCCCTTTTGGCCATCTTGCATTATGCTACCTCTGTCAGCCTTGTCACCCTGCTCTCCCCCTGCCTGGCCATCTTGTCACCCCACTGCCCTGTACTCAATGCTCCTGCCATTTCTGCCAGCCTTGCTGCCCTCAATTCCTGCTGCTACTGAAATGCCTGGCCTAGGCCTTCATGAGGTAGTTGCTGACCGCACCAGGTCTTCTTCCCGAGACCGTGCCAGCCCCCTTTCCAAATCATATGTGGCCTAGTCCAAATCATGGATGGCCTATTTCTGATATTGTACTTCTGCCTTCTGCACAGCAGTGTTAACTCTGCTTGTCACAAGCAAAATTGTGTGCCAGTGGCGAAGCACACAATCAGCAATCACATGACTGATGAATGTTGCAACAATCATAAATCAGTTGCAAAATTATTTTTTTAATACTGTTATAACTTTGAACGGTCACTGTATGAGGTCATCAGTAAGCGAGAACTACCTGTAGGTTACTCATAAGGACAATGAGTTGTTCTGGGATTCCTATTTTTCTAAGCACATTCCACAGTTTGATGTGATATACACAAAGACCTTTCTATAACTAATGAAGAACATAACAACTTCTTGTTGGTATTTGGCTTTCTCAATTAACCAGCGTGCATCAGCAATGATGATCTCATGTTCCTCAGCCTTTTCTAAAGCCAGCTTGAACATCTGGCATCTCTTTTTCCACAGAGGGCTCTAATCTGTATTGGATGATCCTACGCATTATTTTGCTATCATGTGATTTTTAAAATTAGCAATGGCTTAAGCAAAGAAAGAGCCTGAGGTCAGGGTGCCCCCTTCCTCTTTCTGCCCATACCACCCTCTCACTTATCTATCTCTCTGGGGAGTTGAAAAGGAAAAAAACAAACAGAGACAACAGGCCTAGAAAAGCCTTGTTTTTCTGGGCAACTTTAGCTTTTTATCTTTATGTAAGGCAGCAAGAGGGTGGATGTGGGCATTGAGGTCAATTCTGACTCAGAACTATTGGATATCTGAGACAATGACATGTACTGGATTCTTAAGCACACAAGGTAAACTTGGTGACTCAGTTTATAAATATCCCTTGTTTCTTTTTAATTATTAACCAGGTTAATAGAAGCAGTACTATAATTCAGAAGAGCTACAGGAAGAGAGAAATCCCTTCCTTTTCCTTGTATGGCATCTGGCATACAATTGTATTTGGACACCACCAGAAGGGACCACAATATATAATTTCCTCAAGATCTGATGTAACACCAGTAAGACAGGAATTCCTTTCTAGCTCATATTTTAATTTTTTTAATGAATATTATCAGACTTTCAAAATTCGTATCTGAGCCCCAGATGAACAATGCATGTAAAAAAGACTCCCTCTTGGGCAAGACTCAGTTCTTCTTCCTAGTGCCTGCAGCAGGATTTACCTGTCCTCCAGCCAGCTGGCCTTTGTCTCTTGCAGATTATTTTTACCATAGTCTTGGCCTCCATCCAAGGGTTAGCTCATCCCTGCAAGAAATGCCTAATGGGATTCCCTCCCTACAATTTCCCATGATTCTGCAATAAGGCTTTCCTCAGGCAAATTCCTTTCCACTTTCTGGGGAGACATACCATTCTGTGTTGTTTACAGCATCTCCAAAGCCTGGCGTGTCCACGATGGTCAAGCGAAGTTTCACCCCTTTCTCCTCTATGTCTACCACATGCTTGGTAATCTCCACAGTCTGGACAATCCGTTCTAGCCCCCCAAGATAGAAAAAGGAGAATCGGAGAGGGTGTATTTGCAAAGTTTCAAATCAAATGAAATGTCAACTATGCAAGAATAAGATCTCTAAAGGAATGCCTTTCCACCAGAAACAAGATCTCCTTCCTCCTTCCTGATTTTTAGAAATGTTTGGCTGTGTAAAAGAGCACGGCTCCTGCATCTTTGGTTAAAAACTGGAATTTAACGGAATCTGAAAAATCCAGAGAATGCATGCAGGAGACATTTGTTGCAATGATCTAGTTATCTCTAACAAGTAAGTAATAGGTTTGAGCTAGAAATACTGCAGAATATTTGCTGCAGAATATTGCAGAATTGGCCACAGACCAATACCATAGTTTTCCTATTGGAGATTCTTTGGAGATGTCTGTGATTTCACAGCTCTCTACTTAACTCTGTTTTGTGCACGACTGCTTAAAATTAAAAAAAGGAACTTTTACTATTTTCCTTTTCATTTAAAATAAAATAAAATTAACCTTTCTGTAAAACTTGTAAAACTGATCTGTCTTTCAAAGGAGAAGGAAACTGACTTCCTTAGTCACACACTTCACATTATACTGTCAGGACTAGCAATTACAGGAACTATTTCATTTTATCAATTTATTTTTATTTGCTGGTAAGGTGCACAGGCTGTGGGAGCCCTGCCTGCCTCGCCAAGAATAGATTACCTCCTGGAAGACAGGCCTAACTAATCAATAGAAAGAAAGTGGAGCTAAGGAGCAATGATCCAAAGTACTTCTGGCAGCTGAGGCTTGAGAATCTTTCATCTTTCAGGCTTAGTATCACCACTACATAGTTTTGCTTTATGATTATTTGATTTGGCTGATGGTCTGCTGTTTGTTTTACAGTTATTATATTTTTTTTCCTATTTTGTATTATAGTATTGTGTTTTTTGTTTGTGAGTTGCTAAGACAGTGTTTCTCAAACTTTTAAGATGAGTGAACTTCATCTCCCAGAATTCCCCAGCCAGCATATGCTGGCTGGGAATTCTGGGAGATGAAGTCAACCCTTCTTAAAGTTGCCAAAGTTGAGAAACACTGTATTAAGAGTTGGAAGATAAGAAGCATAAAGGAACATATAAACAAAAAAAAATACCTTCTGAATTTAAGAATTTGCGATCTTTGTATAGATCTGTAAGAAAAAGGCTGTTCACCAGAGTGGACTTCCCTAGCCCAGACTCTCCTGAGGAGGAAGAGAAGGAGCAGTTAATATTACATATAAAGAAAATGAGTTCTTAAGAAAACAATTTTTCTGAAGGAAAAAGAGACAAATGTGAGGAATACTTTAAATTAACAGGAATTCTTTAAATAAAGAAAACAAGCAGTGGCGATTTGCATAGCAAGTTTATATAGTTAAAGCCAATCTTCCTATTTCTAGCTCTTTGGCATCTGCAGCTTAGACTGTCCATCAGTTCACAAAGAATGCTAAGAAATCCAACTTTACAATCCAATCCAATAAAAATACTGTGGAATTATTTCTAAGGTCTCATAGATCAAATGCAACAGAATATATTTTCCTCTTTTAGACTTTTATACACACATTACTTAAACATAAGGCAAATGAAATTTAGTTTTAATTATAGTTTTCTGCCATGAATAATGTGCTTTTAATCAGCAACAATTATATACTGTCTCCTGAAACAGCCCTTGCAACTTCAGCATTGATACCTGCAACCATTAGTGTGAAATCAAATCCTTTTTTCACAGATTTCCGATGGACCTGATTAGGAAGTGTTGCAAATCCCACATACTCTTTATCATCCTGAGAGGAAAAAGAGGAGAAAAAAAGCAGTATTACAAATTGCCAGGCCTTTTGCAAGAATCATTTGTTTGAAACAGGTTTTTAAAAGTTATTCACACAATAAATTTAACTTGGTTACAGAATTAATCTATTTCTGAGTTCATATAATGTACTAATAATATTAACTAAATAGGCTTAGTTTTTATATAACACAAATAAACTTTTAAAAAGTAACTAAACTTCACATGCTGTGCAAATTCACCCACTCAGTCTTTAACTTGTTTTGATTAAACACACTGGGTGAATACAAGAATTGTATCACTGGCGAGAAACATTCTTTATCAAAGCCTTTTTATGAATGGCATAAATCTTCTATACAAGACTCAGGAAATGGACCTCTGGGTCTTTATACACTCACTGTTCATGTCAGTGAGTCATCAACTGATTAATAAAATAGCCCTTGTTTTATTTCTGTGCTTTCCCCAACATGGGAATGCCACTGATAATCTGTCCAGCTTGAAAAGCATCATTTGGGGATACTAATTACTACAGCATCTGAAGCACACCAAAACATTATTTCTAGAAGAAGCTTACTCCACATCATAAGCAAAATACTCCCATCAATAGAGATGAGGAATCTGGGTTGAGTATTTCTGTACATTCAAAGATCCATGATCACAATCCTATGTCCAGTTCTACAAAAAAGAGATTCTGAAGGAGGTGGAAGATGGAGGGTTCTGGAAGAAATGCTCATATAGATGCTTTACCTCATCTGATTCATATGGGTCAAGCCTGCCCCAGGGGCTTCTGGGGCGGGATGGGCTTGGCGGTGCTGGAGCAGCCATGTGTTGCTGTTTCAAATCTAGAGGATGAGGGCGGTAGAAGGCCTTCTGCTCCTTTTCCTCCAAGGCATCTTTGGGAATGGCCTGGACTGCAGCACTAGGGAACATTTCAGTCCCACCCGGACTGGATCTTTTCTCCTGATGGATGTCTTCTGGCTTCACCCGATGGAAGGTCTTTTCAGTTGGGGAATCCTTAAGGAACTGGACCAGCTCAGCTTCTTCTGAGTCTTCCTTCAGAAAGTGCTTTATCTGGGCAGGAGAGATTGTGGGAGAAAACAAAAACAGAAAACAATACTTGTGTGAAGAGATGGACCTCAATGTCATATCCTTTCAGCTACCTTTCCATCCTGCTATTTGCAGGTCTTTGTTCATGGTGTAGTATTGATTTCTAATATTGTGCTCCAGGATCCTTCCCTTTCCAGTGACTGTTTCAAAAGCAGCAAGGTAGTCTTCTTTCTTTTTATTCACACATACGTGCAACTCTAACATGCTTATTTAATTTTTTGTTAGAGAAATATCCTCTAATCCTTTTCTCTGATCAGTAATTCCTGTCAAGAACATTCTGGGATAGCCTAGTATCAAAAAGGTGGTTTTTTTTAACAACTGACTACTATGCAGTCATGTCAAATGAATATCCACAAATTCCAGGCAGGAAAGGTAAGAATCATGGAGCCTCTTTTGATCCGTAAATAATACATGCACGTTATCATTTGCACTACGGGGAAGATAAAGGATAGTTCAAAAGGAGTCATATCCTAGGGATAAGAACCCGGACTGGGGTAAGAGGGAGATTAAACCGGGGTCTGCAGAGGAAAACTCAGGATAAATTCCATTGTGTATGCAAAATTCTTACTGTGTGTTCCTGGGGGAGGCTGGCAGGCTCTTCAGCCTGCCCAAAGTGGCTGGGATTAGCACCCTCTTTCAGGGCACTAGGAAAAGGCATCTCTGCTTCACTGGGCTGCATCTCCTTGGAGTCTTCCAGGACAGCTATGGTTCCTTCTACCTCCTCTCCCTGAGTCGAGAGGATTGGGCAGGGCAGGTGTTGGAATGAGGGATGAAAGGAGCAAAAGACAGATAAAGCAGAGAGAAAAGTGCACAAGAAGTCCACAAAGGCTCCAAGCTCAAACCTACACGCTCAGAAGTAAAAGAATATTTGCCCGTGATATTTATGTGAATCCCTGCAACAAAGATGCTTTTGTCCATAGTCATAGGTGTGGATGATGTGTGTGCATCAGGGCAATCATTTAAATAATTAGACAAATACCTTCCTTGCAGCTAAAATGAAAAATATAAGGCAGTGATGGCAAACCCATGGCACGTGTGCCAGAGGCGGCACTCGGAGCCCTCTCTGTGGGCACACACGTGCCGTTGCTCCAGCCTTGCCTCCTCCATGACCCCTTCCTCACCAGCAGCCCCCCTGGAGGAGAATTGCCCCTGAGCGTGGCCCACACGGAGCAGCGCAGCCAAGGACATGGCAGCCAGGCAGCGTAGACAAGACTCTACCCTCACGCCCCATCACGCACAGTTCATGCTGTGGAGCGCGGGCAGAGGGCGGGGCCGCAATGGTGCTGCTGGGCTGCCTGGGCAATCTGCGGCGGGCCCTGGAGGCGGTGAGTGGCCCTGCAGGCAGGCGGGGTGGGGCAGGGCAGGGGCAGTTTTTGGGCACTCGGTCTCTAAAAGGTTCGCCATCACTGATATAAGGTATCAATTTCTCACCATACAGGTAGTCCTCAACTTACAATCATACATTTAATTACCATTTGAAGTTACAACAGCACTGAAAAAAGTGACTTATGACCATTTTTCACACTTGTCAGCAGGTCACAAAAGCTGACCACATAACTCCGGGATTTTAGTGCCACTGTAACTCTGAACAGTTACTAAACAAATGGTTGTAAATCAAGAAATATCTCTACTTGTATTCAGTTCTGAACACGATACTATCAGGAGGGTTCAGAGTAACTGGATGAATGAATGACAAAGGGAAATAAAATTAAGCCCTATGAAAAGACTTGAAGGAACTGAGAACGTTTCCACTCAGGAAAAGATTAATGAGGGGACAGATGCTAGCATTTTTCAAATATCTGAAAGGATATATGAAAGGTCAGTACTTGTACACTCTCATTTTAGAGCAGTGTTTCTCAACCTTGGCAACTTTAAGATATCTGGACTTCAACTACCAGAATTCTGCAGCCAGGCTAAGGAATTCTGGTAGTTGAAGTCCAGCCATCTTAGTTGCCAAGGTTGAGAAACAGTGTTCTAGAGCAGGGCTTTTCAACCAGTGGTACGGGTACCACCTGTGGTACATTGGCACCTGGCAGGTGGTACACGACCATCCTAGAAAAGTGGTAGCGGGGGAGGGGAATGAACTGAACCGGTGGCAGCATCGCACAAGCCTGAGTGAGAGATGGCTGGAGCTGCAGGGCTGTCGGGGCTCAGCGGAAGCGCCAGGATCAGTGCTGCTTTTTAGCTGATCGGTGCTTTTTCGGGGCTGAGAGGGCTGTCAGGCTCCAGTTGGAGCTCGGCGCTGATCCTGGTGCTTCTGCTGAGCCCAGAAGACGCTCCGATGAGCTGGAATGTTGCAGCATTTCCAGGGTCTTGTGATTTACATTCAGATGCTTGGCAACTGATTCATATTTATGACGGTCACAGTGTCTCAGGGTCATGTGAAGTGACCAAAACCTGCTGCAACCACCCAGCAGATGGGGGAATAAAAACAAAACATCCCCCATCCCCGCTGCCAATCCTCAACAGAAATGCTCACAATGAAAACCTTGGACAGGAGGAAGAGCGCCACCGGGTGGGCAGGCAAGTGTCTTGCTCGGCTGTGGCTTGGGGGGCACTTTTTTCAGTGCCATTGTAACTTCGAACAGTCACTAAGCGAACTGTTATAAGTCGAGGACTACCTGTACTTTATCACTTTTTTCCTCTTTTTTTTTGGTCATCAAGTTTTTGACACCTTGCTAGGCGACTGGTGGTACTCATATATTGCCATATCCTAAAAGTGGTACAATGGGTGAAAAGGTTGAAAAGCCCTGTTCTAGAGAGTAAGATATAAGACACTGATTTAAAGTTCCAATTGAACATTAGAAAAAACTTCCTAACAGTAAGAGCAATTCAACAGTAGAACCAGAGAGTTGATGGGTTATGTGGAAGAGGAGACTAAACAGGTATCTCTCTCGTAGGCTTTAACTTGGTGGTCCAAATGGCTCTTTCCAATTCTAGGATTCTACCTCAAAACATCATAGGATAGGAGCACATAACTTTTGTTTCAAGGATAGCACTTGCCCTTGAGGTGACATGCCAGGGACCCTGCTCCAAAAAGTCAGGGGAAAGCTAAATTTGACTTAAATTAATTGTCCTTGCTTGGGACTGCCTTGTTTAGTGACCACTGTGGTTACCATGGTGATGAAAAAGAAACTTTCTACCCAATCCTCACATTTACAATCTTCACAGGTCTGTAAAGCAAAGGAAACCGAAGATTGTAAGCACAGTCGCAGTTTTACTTAGTGACTGCTTTGCTTAAGGACCAAGTTGTGGCTCCCAATTGTGGTTGCTAAATGAAGACCATCTGTAAGTGTTGTTATCTCAGGAAAGCATATGTGGGGGGGGGGTTCATGTCTGCAGTGTTAATGAACAATCAGAATTATGTGGTGGATGGCATCTCTTACTTATGCTCATATTGCAGTAGCAGCAGCAATATAGATCCACAAACTGGATAGGTCAGAAACTGGAATTCCCATAGTGTATGAGGAGACCCCACTTCATCTGAAATCAGGCATTTCTCAGGAAAGCATTATGGTGAGGATAGCTGAGATACACCTCTGAAAAAATCTTCTTGAAGAGCCATTCCAAATAACTATCCCCCAATCATTACACTTAACCACAGAACGTACAGACACTTACTTCTGTTGAAAATACACAATAGAAGTTAAATTAGAAAAAAATGTATTGTGGAGAAATGGAGGCTAAGTTAATATCAGCAATATTATATTGTACAGAAGAGGTTAGCATTAGTGCTATTGTACTGTGTCGAAGTGGAGATAAATATTAGCAATGATGTCTTGAGACAGAGATTGAGCGTTGTATTTTTCCCAGTCTCCATCTACAGTATTATATGACTTGTTTTTCACTTCCTTCACTTTTACAGTTTGCCATTTATTGCTATTAGAAATTGCCTTTGGTTAGGTGCTGGAAGAAGTGAGTGGTTACATTAAGGATGTTCTTTTCTACTGTATTATTTTCAAGCAAATATGTTTAACATGTCAGCATAAATCACTCCTCTAGTGGTAAAAGTTGTTTGCATTCATATAGCAACAGTTTTAATCAGAGCAGATAAAATTCAGCATTTGAACAAGTTGCTTTATTAGACTTAGCCTTGAGTATTATGAACTTAATTAGTTTTGTGGCTGAGCACTGTGGTGAATGTAATTTCCTCGCCACTCAGAAGAACTCAGACATCTGCTTAAACAGACTTGGAATCATCTTCAGAAGGGAGGTACTTCCATCCTGGACAGACTGAGAGATTCCCCTACATCAAGGGTGGGGAACGATGGCACTTTTATGACTTGTGGACTTCAACTCCTAGAATTCCTGAGCCAACCATGCTCAAGATTTCTGGGAGTTAAAGTTCACAAGTCATAAAATGACCATCATTCCCCTAGGTCCTCCTTCTCTAGGGGACACAAACAAGATTAGTTTTTGTGTGTGTGTGTTTAATGAAGCAAAAGTTGCTGAATGATGGTTTAGCATCTACTATAGGGAAGCTCTGGGGACCCAACCCATATGGCTAGTTTCTGAATCAGTGTAGTGTCCAGTATAGAAGATGGGACAATCCAATAATCTAATTAAGGTTGCTGCCAATAACTAAAAAAAAAAATTGAATCATTGAAATGACAACTTCAAATATTAATAATAAACTCAAATACTGCAACAATATCCAAAGAATCAGAATACAAGCCTGGATAACCTCATCAGATCATGGAGATTACAACCATGTTTGTGTTGGGGGAAAAACAGATCTAAATTTGTTGTCTCTGTTTCCAATTTCAATTGTGCACCTATTTCCTCTGTTCCCAGTTGCTGCATGTTACTGATGTTGCTCAAGAGTGGTAACACCTTAGAGATTTTACCTACCTTGAAGCCTTTCAATAGCAGAATTGAAAGGCAGAAAAGGGGGAAATACTTTTTTTACACACTACTGCTAAGGACACCTTAAGCCTTATTTGCTCATGAGTTGGGAATGAGAAGAAAAATGCCACATGGGGGCACAACAGAAAAAAATCACCAGGGTATGTTTATGCCATGATTAGGTGGAAGTGCAAGGAGGCCTTTAACGACAGACCTGCACAGAATTTCAATTTCCATGGAACAGCGTGAAAAACTGAATCAGTTTTCTATGCTGTCCCATGCCCCCTCTGTCTGTCTGTCTGTCTGTCTGTCTGTCTGTCTGTCTATCTATCTATCTATCTATCTATCTATATCATTATCTAAAGCTGTATTTACTTTTAGTGTATCTATAGAATAGAATAAAACTGGAAGGGACCTAGTCCAGCCCCCCACTCAAGCAGGAGAACCTATACCATCTCAGACAAATGACTGTCCAGTATCTTCTTAAAAACCTCCAGTGATGGAGCACCCACGATCTATATTAGGTGTAATTTAAAAGATATTGTTTGCAAACCATCGGTATAGAAATTTGTATAAATAAATAAACAAACAAACAAACAAACTATTTTTTCTGACTCTCCACCTACTTTTTTCTTATAATCCCATCTATTTTGATCTGTAAATCCCAACATGTTACTCAAGATAGAACATCCCTCTTGGTTTAAGAAAAAATGCTACCTGATATATATATTTATATATACAAGGCTAGGCAAGAAATCACAAGCTTTCATCATGAATTGATTCAAATCAACTTGATGGTTTGCTGCTAAAATGAATGGTTTGGAAGTTTGGTTTGGAGACATCTACATCTCTACAGTTCCCCCCGGGGAATTCCAGATGCTCTGTAGTCCAAAAGGATAGACTATGAACACATCAAATCACTGAACTACCTACACTAGTACTATATGCCTTAAGCACAAATTGTTCACAGCTCTGCTTTTGGAATGCATTTTCATTGAAAAGGCCATTAGAGACTGAGGATGGTTCTCTCCCCTCCCCTTCAGGCTATTGTCCAATACATGCTCTGCCAATTA